TTAATATTATTTGAAGGTATTTTAGTGAAGTCATAGGATTATGTTTGTATTATTTTTGTTTTACATATTATTTTTGTTTATTTACCTATTAGACTATGTTAGGTTTCAGCCCACCTTTTGAGGGGTTAAAACTATTTAATGTTATCTATATTTTGTATTGTGTATTTATTTTATGTGTTTATATATTGGTTTCCAACCACAAGATGTCACTGTGCATTTTATATTATTTTATTTTCTTATTTTTTCCAACCACTAGATGACTCACTGAGCTGGGGAATATATAGGAACTTGTTGGATATACCATTATTGTTTTTTAATCACTAGATGGTATATTGAGCCTTAATGTTTAATATAGTATTTTTTTATACATTTTTTTCAGACGACTTTTAAGTTTTTACAGTTTGTTATTTTTGTTTTGGCCTATATTTTATGTTGTCGTTTTGACACATGGTCTGTTCATATATTTTTAGTTCCGGTTTGTGGAGTGCAAGCTTCATAGGCTGTTATTGTGTTGTTATGACATCCGGTCCAGCTATCCATCTATTGTTCCGGTTTGTGGTGCGCAAGTGTCATGGGCTTGTTTCCGCCCTGTGACTATTTATAGCGTGGTGGGCATCATAGGCCACACCCCTGAAAACAGCTGCTTGTGATGAAATGCGTAGGGTGGAGCTACGGCTTATGTCGTCATCGCACCATGTACCATTTTGTTGGTTGGTAACTTTTATGACCTCACATGCTGATTTCATCTTATGTTTGTAAGTGCAATACTTTTTATTAAACTTCAGATTATTTTTTAAAATATTACACTATGAGAAGCTTTTGTTCTTTTTGTATACATCCCATTATCTTTGAGGCATAATACTGGTTCTTTATCATCGAGTCACTAGTTTTGGAACTACCTTTTTTGGGGGGGAAGATCAAGAATCCAACATTTCCATTGTTATTCCATATTTGCTGTTTTTGACTGCATGATCAGTGGTCATATTTTCCGGTATGAGGCTGTGAATGGTGATGGCGGAGGATTATTTTTTTTTTCTTCCTGCTGGCGGCACATCACTTTTTGAAGATATGGTTTTCATCTAACACATAGTCACATTTATTGGACTTTTTTGAGGATGTTAATGTATTAATTTGTCATTATATTGTGTGCAATAGTGGTATGAATTAGAGCTACATTTTTGTTTTTCATAATCCTTTTGTATGTTGCCTGCATTTTGGTGTTGGCAGCTTTTTCACCACACAGAGTACATTTAGCGCAGGTACACTTTGTTATTATTTACACACACACTTTAACAAAGTCCTTTATTAAAACAATTGTCCCCCAATGTAAATCCAATGTTATCAGGTGGGAGCAGTGTCCCACCTGGTCTATAGTAGATGGACGGCCAGGTGGGACATTGCTCCTTCTGAGTGGGTGTCATATGATGCCCTATCAGAAGGTGCCACTCACATGGCCATGGGGCCACACAGCAGCACGATCTGTCACCTGATGACAAATCACTGCACCAGCCTGCTGCCAGTGTCATTTTACCACTGTGACCAATCACAGTAGATCTCATGACAATTGTATAGAATGGATGGCTTGCTTTCCAATACAATTGTGATGTTAGTTGTAATAGGTCACAGGGGTCACATGGTACAGACGGCTAATCACAGCCCATATGTACCATGGGATGAGCTTTACCCAATCACAGATAATCACAACAAAAGACTGAATGAGTCAGTTTCATTCAGTAAAAATGGTTGCTAATATCAATGAAATACATTGGTATTAGCAATCATAATGTGTAAAAAAAAAAAAAAAACCCTGATCACTTACTGTTAACATTGTATTGCTCTGGTCACAGTGTGTTGAAAAAAAAATAGCAAAAAAAAATGTAATAAAAAAAGAAAAAAAAAATAGAAACAATGTTTACATACTGTCACCAATCAGTGTCCCTGATCACTGCCAAGCCAGTTATATGATGACACTGTACTACAACTTCAAAAAACTTGCCATTAATCCTACTAAATACCTTGGCATGTCTATTTGCCAAAAATGGGTAATTTGGTGGGGATTTGTACTATCCTGGCCTCAAGAAATTAGATTGGCCGTCAGTACATCAGGATTGATTAATTATCAGATGTATATACCATAGTTTGTGAACACTATAAATTTCCTACAGACTAAATAATATACACTAATTTGGGATATTTTCATGAAAAAAATGTAGCAGAATACATTTTAAGCTAAATTTATGAAGAAAGGTTATTTATTTGCAAAACTGTATAACTGAAATGAAGAAAAACATGTTTTTTTTTAAAGTGTAGGGGTTTTTTTTGTTTATTTAGAAAAAAAAAAAAAAAAAAACCTCAATGGTGATTAAATACCACCAAAATAAAGTTCTATTTGTGTGAAAAAAAATGATAACTTTTTTTATGGGTACAGTGTTGCATAATCGCGCAATTGTCATTCAAATTGCAACAACGCTGAAAGCTGAAAATTGCCATTAGAAGGAAGGGGGTAAAAGTGCTCGGTATTGAACTGGTTAATCACATTGACCAGCAATGTAGATCATGATGAACAAAGCTCTAATGACCTGCTGACATAATGACTGCCACCATGATGATCCACACTCCTGTGGTTAAATGACTGCTTCTTAGCTGGCTGCTGTAACCAACAAATATTAATATTTGTGCAGGTAAACATATCCTTCCAATAGCTGGTACTCAACTCATAGGAAATAAACCAAGAAAGAATAATTGTCCAAAAATACACTTAGGCAGCTGCAGCTCTCTGAGATTCCACCAGGTGGCAGGAAAGCTGTGGAGATCAGAAAACAAATGAGAGAGAGAGTGGGCAATCACCCTAATGTGAACACACCCTAGAGCAGGGGTATTGAGTTAAAATTCATGGAAGTCCGACCAGTAAAATTTTCTTCCAACAAAGGTCCAAACCGCATTTTTTGTCAGTCATCTCCTGTATATCACAATCCCTATACTTCATTATCCTTAGTACCCCCCTACGCATCACAGTTCCCAACTTCGCATCAGTTCACCTTCACAGTAGTGTTCTCAGGCCCCCTGCGCATCACACCCACCCCTTTACAGTACTGTACTAAACCCCCTTCACATCACATACTCCCATTATATTCAGCAGTCCTCAGAGAGTGTGGAATAACAGCACAGCATTGAACAGGGAGTGGGAGCTGTCATAGCATTTCTGAATCTGAATTCTGAACTAGAGAACAGCATTGAATAGAGCGTGGGAGCTGCCTGGGTTAACTTTTTGTATTAACCAGCAGTTGATTTGCTGCTAGGACTGCCCTGCTTCCAATCAGCCACTGGTTAACTTAAAAAGTTAACCCCCGCAGCTCCCACGCTCTGTGCTTCCCGCATCCGATCTAGAAATGTTATGATAGCTCTTTCACTCTGTTCAATACTGTGCTGTTATTCCACACTCTCCCCAGAAATGTTCAGTCTCCTGCTGTCCACTCTGCTGTTATAACAGCAGCAGAGGATAGGGAGAATGAAGGGGCTACTAAATGGCTTGACTGGGCCTGGATGAAACAATAGCTAGGTCCGCATCCGGACCGCGGTCCGCCATTTAGTGATGCCTGCACTAGAGCAACTGCACTCTCTTTTGTTTTCTGACCCCATCTGGCTGCTGAATGTTAACAAACTAGCCAGTGCCACTGACTGACGTAATTTGGTCAATGACAAAACCCAGCATGCACACCGGGACACAATTTCAAACAAGCCTGCAGGCGACTAGAAACCGGCATTTAGTGGCAGTAGTAATACCACCACTAAATGAATGACTTCCAGCTGCAGCAGCCAGAGATTCAGATGGGCCACATATGATCATTTATTTTGACCAATCGGTGAACTGCAAAGAGCCTGGGTCCAGGTTGAAACACCTGAACTTGAAACTAATCCCTAAAAATCACTAGTTTCTAAGACGGTTAAAGACCAACAAGATAAAAGGCAGGGATATAATAGTCAGAAATGTAAAGCTTCAGCCTGGATATGTAGTTAGAGTTAGGAAAGCTGACTTACTGAAACAAGGACAGTTCACATTTTTCAATCCACTTGGAAAAACAAGTCAATGGGGATCTTACATCTATGAACTGTCTTAAGGATGCATATAAAATGCCAATCATCTTATGTATGTTAAGCAAAACATTTCAGAAGTTTCATTTGTTGAAGAACATTTTTCTATTTCTACTGATAACAATTAGACTGGAGACCAGGAACCTGAACCAGTTAGACATATTTAAAGTGTTACTAAACCCAGGACCCTGCATTCACTATATCTGGTCTCCCACAGTACACACTACGTGGAAATGCAATTAATTTAGTAAATATAAACTGCTAAATACCTTTTCTCATCAGCGGTTAGAGCAGTCTTGTGACTTCTATCAGTGTCCATCAGAGCACTGGTTAAAGCTTGTAGGAGGAATTTTCATTCTCCTCTCACTGTCCTATGACACTGCAGGACCCCTGACCCTCTGTCTGGACAGTTCTGATTGGCCCTGTGCTGATCACATGCACTCTTCCAAGAAAAAAAAACAACTATAGCAATACACACCAAAGTGAGCATGTGCAGCTTGCCCCCCAAGGATTTGTTCTATCAGGAGGGGAGCCGGGGACAGTAGAAGGGGAGGATCAGAGATCCTTTTTACACAATGCAGAGGATTAACCCCATACGTTCCACAGTGAGTATAACAAGCATGTTTCACTGCATATAGACTGCATACAGACTGATTTTACTGTTGTGGGTTTATTAACACTTTTAAGCGAAGGCCTCCTATGCCAGCTAAAGATTATATAATGTAATTAGCACCTTCCTGCCTGGCCTATAGCAGATTGACGGCCGGTTGGGTGGCTCCTCTTACTAAGTGGACATCATATGGTGTCCTATCAGAAGACACCGCTCATGCGGCCATGCGGGGTCACACAGCAGCACGATCTGTCACTTGCTGTGTTCATGGGATACAGCCGATGACAGATGACTACAGCGGCTCGCTACGAGAAGGGGCGGACTGACCATTTGGAAACTCGGGCACTGCCCGAGGGCCCTGGGTCAGTAGGAGGCCCCATGAAATGCCCCTGGTACCTTTTTCATAGGCTTTTTTTAGTTTGGGCAAGGACACAGGGGCCCCATGATCCCCTATTGCCCGGGGGCCCCATGAGTTGTCAGTCCGCCGCTGGCTATGAGTGTCAAGTGATCGCTGTGACCAATCACAGCAGATCACATGACAACTGTATATAATAGATGGCTTCCTTTCATGCCATCCATTGTATATAATTGTGTTATTAGCTGTGATTGGTCACAGCGGTCACATGGTACAGACAGGGCCAATCAAAGCCCATCTGTACCATGTGATGAGCTTTGACCAATCATAGCTAATCACAACAAAAGACTGAATGAATCAGTTTCATTCAGTAAAAAAGGCAATGAAATACATTGGTATAGGCAAAAAATCCTGATCACATGCCCAGAGTAGTACAATGTTACTATGGTAACATTGTCTTGCTCTGGTCACAGTGTGTTGAAAAAAAATAACAAAGAATGTAATAAAAAAGAAAAAAATTATTGAAAAAAGAAAAAAATTATTATTATTTTTTTTTGTATACTGTTACCAGTGAGTGTCCCTGATCACTGCCACACCAGTTATATGGTAATGCTGCACTGGATTTGTAATTATTTGTAATTTGTAATTATTATTATTTTTTTTTTTTACATACTGTCACCAATCAGTGTCCCTGATCACTGCCAAGCCCGTTATATGATGCCACTGTACTGGACTGGTGACAATATATATAAAAAAAGTGAATTTTTCTTTTACATTTCTTAATTTTCTAAAATTTGTGACAAATAATTACAACTTCAAAAAACTTGCCATAACTTATACTAAATACCTTGGGCTGTCTATTTTCGAAAAATGGGTCATTTGGGGTATTTGTATTGTATTTGTATCCGGATTGATCGACAGTCAGATATATACCTTAGTTTGTGGACTCTATAACTTTCCTACAGAGTAAATAATATACACTAATTTGGGTTATTTTCACCAAAGAAATGTAGCAGAATACATTTTTACCTAAATTTATGAAGAAAGATTACTTGCAAAATCTTATAACAGAAATGAAGAAAAATGCAATTTTTACAAAAAGTTTCATTTTTTTTGTTTATTTTAAAACAAAAGAAAAGAAAAAAACTCAGTGGTGATTAAGTACCACTAAAAAAAAGCTCTATTTGTGTGTGAAAAAAAATAATGCTAAAATTGTTTTATGGATACAGTGACTGCACAACTGACATTCTAAGTGCAACAACACTGAAAATTGACCTGGGCAGGTAGGGGGTGAAAGTGTGTGGTATTGAAGTGGTTAAAATGTATTGAGCTGTTTTATGATGAAAATACTGTTCTGTGCTAGGAGTATGAATATGTGGAGTTCATATGGTTGGTCTTTAGGTGTAATAAATACAGCTGTTACATGTATTATATTTTCTATAATCTGAACAAGTTTGTTCCCGTTCCTGTTTTGATATACTCATGATACGGATCTTGTTAAAGTGGAACTTCACTCAAAAGGGAAGGTTCCGCTTGTTTGTATGTTCTTCTTCTCCACTGCCAAATTTGGCACTTTTTGGAGGGGAGCAGGTACCTGGTTTTGACAGGTACCCACTCCCACTTCTAGGTCAGATCACCACAGTCTGGCCCCCCTTCTTCCCCCACAGCCTTCTGGGGCACTTCACAGATCCCAAAAGACAGCAAGACCATTCGCAATGCGCAGCAGCACACTTTGCGCATGAGCAGTAGGCAACCGACTTCAATGCCTGCTTCCCTTAGTTAAGTTGCTGGCCCCCACACCCTAAGCCAATTGAAGAATCGGCTACGGTGAGCACATCGCTGGATCCCTGGACAGGTAAGTGTCCTTAAACCAATTCCCGTCCGGCCCATGTACATAAACGGCAGGACGGAAGCAGTGCAGGGGCTGGTGGCCATTTATAAATGTCCTCCCGCTTCTTTGCTTGTGAGCGCTCCCTAGGAGAGCGCGCGCGGCACCACGATACAGTGCCTTCACCTCTGTGTGAGGTCCCGATCATGTGATCACTGATTGGCCAATCAGTGATCAAATGAATAGTAGTAAGCAAGATGTCACTTCCTGACATCATTGCTTACTATTAGAGAAATCTGTGAATGATCACAGAGGTCATATGGTACAATGCTATTCACAACAGCCTTGTACATGTGACAAGCAGTGACCAATCACAGCTCACACAGTATTTCTCAATGGCTGCAAGAATGCAGCCAGAGAGAAGGGGAAATGATTGCTTTTACAGCCTTTATGGGTGTAAAAGCAATCAGTGTAAAATAAAAAAAAATCTTCATCACCCCCCACAAGTAGTACAGTGTCACTATGGTGACACTGTGCTGCTAGGGTGACAGTATGTAAAAAAAAAGTAAATAATAATATAAAAAAAAAACATAAAAATTAAAATAACATTTTTGAAAAATTATCATTTTTGGTTATAAAATAATTTTGGTTATTTTTTTCTACTAAAAAGATAACTGAAAACATTTTGGCAAAGATTTATGAAGAAAGATTATTTGCAAAAACACTTTTTTTTCAAAATGTTTGGACTTTTTCATTTATATAGCAAAAAAAAAAAATCTTAGTGGTGAATAAATACCACCAAAATAAAGTTTTATCTGTCTCAAAAAAATGCTAATAAATTCATATGGGTACAGTGTTGAATGATGCAATTGTCATTCAAAGTGTGATAGCGCTGAAAGCTGAAAATTGGCCTGAACAGGAAGGGGGTAAAAGTGTCCGGACATGAAGTGGTTAATGTAAACATCTGCAGCTACAGGATCTGTAACTGCTGACTTTTAATTTTTGGGGGGAAGCCTGGAGCTCTGCTTTAATAAAGCACTCTATAACTACTCTACCTCCCAGTCTACAAGACACAAAACAAGCTCTGTTCAGTTCATAACTCTAATGTCTCTAAGAGAACTCTATTTTTCTATCTCTGTAGCAAGCACAGCAGGTAAGTATTATTATTCTCTAAATGAAATACTGGCTGTACATTGCTGCTTGTTTAGAGGTGCTCAGCACAGAGGATTGTTCACTGTCAGTGTTCCAGTAGTTGCAGCAGATATACTTTGAGAGTGGAAACTCATCAGAATTTCTTGCAGAGGTTATCAAGGTACATGAGAGAGCAAAATTAGGTTCCCTATGTCATGCTATCTCCTACTCTGTCTACCTTTAGGTGATCCCTGAAAACCCATCTCCTGGGAAGTCTATCTCCCCCCTACCTAACAAATGACCTTTCATTTTCTCCATCATTTCCTACATTTATTATCTTTAGTACCACTTGCCCCTTCTAGCCTTCTTGTTTTGAATTTTATTGTAACTGTCCTGTCTCCCTTTACGTTACAAAGTAATACTCCGATTGTTGGCTGTATATAAATCCTGCATAATAATATAAATAATGTATAATAATAAACGGATACATGTGAGGCATGTATGTATATGGAAAAAAGAGATTGTTGCACTAATTAAAATAAAATCCTTAATATTAAAGGCAAAGTTAAATTTTTGTTTTTTTTTTAATTAAATCCAGCTCCCCTATGCACCAATATACCAATAACGTACTGTACATCAGTTGCAAAAATATTCAAGCTCTCTTTGATCTGGAGAGCAAGGCCTTACCTTAGCCTTTGGTAAGTTTCTTAGAAAGCTTTTTCAATTCCTGGAATGTAGCAACACCATGCCCAAATGTCCCATGTAGCGCAACTCATTGAAATCAATGTGCTGCCCTTTCTGTGTCACTGGAAAAAACAAGCCAAAAAACATTTGCTCCCACTACTCTCGGTGTGAATGGGTCCTGAAAGTGAAACTGATGCGTTTACACAGAGCAAAGAGGCTCCATTCACATCTGTGTGTTTCCGAATGTATGGCAATCTGCACAGAAAATGCGTGCTTTGCCACCCGTTTAAAAAAACACGCTGCAAATGTGCATCGTGTTTGTGTTGTCATTACGTGTTAAAGGCACCCCAAGTGCAGAAAACGCACCAAAAACTGTGGTAACGCACCGTGCTCAGCTCCAGAAAAAGTTCTAGAGCTTTTCTGGGGTGATTGTTGCTCGTATGGCAGCCCATTCAAGTTAATGGACTGTGTCACAAGTTATCCTGCAGTTTCTTGTTTGTGTATTCTTACCTCCTTGCTGCAGTGCTGTTCCTGATTCCTTTCACATGTGTGGTTTGTCTGTGCTCACCTATGGGTATTGTCTGCTATTCTCTCTGGGTTTTATTTCCTTCCCTTCCATCACTTCCGGGCCCGCCTCCTAGTTTGCTTGTCTATATAAGGCATGCTCAGTCTAGTCCACTTTTCCTGAGCAACTTCTTAGTTCTCTGAGCTCCTGCCTGTTGCTACTCCTGTATCCTGTATCTGACTACCTGTGTACTGGCCCCGGCTTCGTCCACTGACTGTGCTTGACTTCCATCCGTCCTGACCTTGGCTTTTCTATCGGCTTCCCTGTTGTCTCCTGCCATTACACTCTGCTCACTCGAGTGGTCTCTGCATCCTCAGCTGGGTGTACCTGGGGGCAGCTACCTAGTTCTAGCTTGCTTCAAGTCCATCCCCACCATCAGGGGCTCTGGTGAAGAAGCAGGCTGGGGCTTAGACTCTGCACCCTGGGGAACCCTGAGTTGGCCATCTACAAGGACTCACTACCACAGGTGCATGACAGACTGCTCTATGCATGAAGAGTGAAAACGCTCCAAAACAATTGCATGTGAGTCTTCACTACATGGAGATGTGAACAGGGCCTGACAAGTGAGTGTCTCCATAAACTCCCTCCTATTTACTTATATAAAGATGATCACACACTATGCAGTCTGATTGATTGTACAATCTCTGCACAATTTCCTTTAGATTTGCCAGAACAATGGAATAGGAGGACACACCTGAACAATCTATTTAATTTGTATCAAATCAGACAGGCCCTTGTACTACATAGCGGATGGGAGGAAGGTAGTTTTGTAATGAAGGAGGTGTGGTCCAGAGTGGTGAACACATCCTATCACACTCTCTCCTGTGATGCAACAAGAAAGTGAAGGCTTCTGGGAGGTGACCTACAGGAAGTGAATGCTGAGAGACCATTGACAGGAAATTATTCAAAATGTCACAGAAACTGACAAAAAAATTAAATGTCCTTTGGACGAGGTAAGTGAGAGAAAAGCACATTGGGATGGCTGGGCCAGAAATGGCATTGGAAAATGCTTCTACTTATTATGAAAAGTGAAATTCTGCCCGAAAAGGTGAACTTATCCTTTAATAATAAGTAATTAATATTTATTAACAACAAAACAAACAATATTAAAATAACATTTATTAACAATAAGACAACAAAAGTGAATCCCTTCTTTATAATCAAAAACAGTGTAGCGCCACACATGTTACAAATATTCGTAACAGAGGGACCATCCAATATACAAACAAATAAATAGAGAATTGGAAAAATTATGTGAACAAATCCAAAAAAGATTTTCTTCCTATTGCAGTCTCTTATATGCTTGTGCTCCACAAACTTCACTTCTTATTCAAGTGAATAGTCTTGCTCATTTGAAAATCACCACGTACCACCACCATAATTCACCATGCGCTCACCTTCTTTATCAGACCTATAGGTTATAATAGGTCAAACAGTGCGCCTTCCCCTTTAAGAATGGGGTTACTCATCTCTTTTTTCTCCTGTTGTGGTCTCCTCCTCCTTCTTGAAAATCTCCCTTTACTGTTCCTTCACCCAACTTGCACAGATGGACCTGTATATACTCCTTATTTACTCAGAGAGAAAAAAAAATGCCCATTGGCTGGTTTTTCTGTTATGGGATATTTGTAAGGTGGCATTACACTGTTTTAGTTTATAAAGATTGGAAGGAGGTGTGTGGAACACTTTTGAGTAGTAACAGCAACTAATAATATTATAATATCATGTGGCAAAAATATAGTAAATAGTATAGACACATGGGGGGGGATTTACTAAAACTGGAGTGTGCAAAATCTGGTGCAGCTGTGCATGGCATGGCATCAGCTGCTAATATTAACTTGTTCAATTAACCACATGCCACCCAGCCACTGTATAAATACGGCGGCAGGGCAAAAGCACATTTTATAACGTGTGTTTTGAAAACAGGAAGGGGGCGCGCGCGAGGCGCGCCACCGCCCTACCTGTCCCGCCGATCACAGCCGCGGATGTCAGTCGCCGGGTCACAGCCGGTCATTACCAGCTATGACCCGGCGATTGGCGGCAATCACTGACAGAGAGCACAGCTGCAGTATCTGTGCTTTCTGTCAGTTCCCTGACAGCTCCAGGACACGCTGATTGGGACAGAAGAGTTTCTCTCTCCGATCAGCGGTGTTCCCTGCAGCACACACCCCTGCCCCCTAGTAAAACACTCCCCTCACACAGTTAACCCTTTCTCTGAATAATAAACTTAACCCCTTCCTCCCCAGTGCCATTAGTACAGTGTCAGTGTTTTTTTTTTTTTGCACTGATCACTGTATTGGTGTCACTGGGATGTCAGTGACCCCAAGTCAGTACCCCCCAATGTCAGAATGTCCGCAGTCCCGCCATAAGTCGCTGATCGCTGCCATAAGTCACTGATCGCCGCCATAAGTCGATGATCGCCACCATTATTAGTAAAAAAAACCCTAAAAATCCCAGTATCTTTCCCGCCATTTGTAAACGCTATAACTTTCATGTAAACCAATTATGAAAAAAAACTGGAAGCTGATTGGCTAATATGCACAGCTGTGCTAAATTTTGTACTCTCCAGTTGTAGTAATCAACCCCTACGTGGGGGCACATTTGTATTTAAAAGTGAATCTGTTTTCAAACTACACATTTGTTAATATTGTCTTGCATGACATCAGTGTTCCTTTAAATGCTCTAAAAGATGTCTGAAAATGATATAATGAAATTGTAATGGTTTTGGGTGAATTATTGTTATTTTTTATTCTTACATTATTACCCTGCAGTTTTATATTTTTTATTATATATAGCAAACCATGAACTAAAGATTTAACCACTTCTCCACCACGCTATAGCCGATATAAGGCTACAATGTGGCTCTCCAGTTCTGAAAGGGCGTCACTGGACTTCCACCCACTTGTGGGAACGCTATCGGGAGCACTCTGTGACCAGACTGGGGTAAAGGGCCAATCACATGGTCCATGTGACCAGCTGTGTCAAATCACAGCTGTCGCAGTGTAAACAAATGCAATTCCTTTGCCTGTTGTCAGCTCTCCTTTCCTCACACAGAAATCATGTGTGAGGGAAGTAGAGCTGGATCTGTGAGAGGCACAGTGAGTACAGTATTTTATAGTGTTACACAGTGCCCTGATCATCAGTGCAGCCTCATTAGTTCCCCCAATTATTAGCGCAGCCCCACTAGTGCCTATCAATCCAGCTTGCTAGTGCCTTTCAGTGCAGTGTATCAGTGCCAAGCAGCGCAGCTTATCAGTGCAGCCTTATCAGTGCCCATTAGTGCAGCCTATCAGTGCCGGCCAGTGCAGCCTCATCAGTGCCCATCAGTGCAGCCTCATCAGTGCCCATCAGTGCAGCTTCATCAGTGCAGCCTCATCACTGCCCATCAGTGAACATAAACACAGCCTCATCAGTACCCATCAGTGCAGCCTCATCAGTGCAACATTTTATAACAGAAACTAAGAAAAACTTGTTTTTCCAAATGTTCTATCTTTTTTTTTGTTTATTTAGCACAGAAAGTGATAACATTTTAATGTGTGTACAGTGTTGCTTGAGTCAATTCCATGCAAAGTGTGACAGCGCTGAAATCTATAAATTTGCATGGGCAGGAAAGGGGTGAAAGTCTGATATTAAAGTGGTTAATACAGGGAAGATCCGTAAAGTAGAGTTAGAGTATTATAGGTTTCCTAAGGAGAGAGCAAACCAGAAGCTGTCTGCTGTCAGGCTCCTTCTCTCTGATTGAAACTCAGTGGAAGCCAAATAAAAATAAAAAAAGTGAGAGGGTGTAGAGGGGGGTTACAGCTTTGACTAGTTTAGTCCTGTATAAAAAATTCAGTTTGTATTATTGAGATCTGTATATTACCGTCTTTTGCGGAAAAAAGAACTGAAAAATATGTGAAAAGGATCCTAAAGGTAGCTAGAGATGAAAATAAAACATTTACATCCAGTATTTCATATGTGCAGTACCAGGTTAATGAAAACGTTTTTAAATGTATTTTTCAGTTTTGACTAAAATGAATAAAAGGAAGATATATACAAAAACCCACTATATTTTCTCTATAAATACTCATGCAATAAGTAGCTTATTTGTCTTTATTATATACTGTATGTTTCCTCTTGTTTCTACATTACTCTTCATTCCTAATGGATTAATAACAGCTTCATATGAACCTACTAGTGCTAATAGACAGGGTCAGACATGTACTTACTGCTGTAATAGGTTAAATGTCTTGTGCCACTGCCCTTCTATCCCAGTCAACTGTCTAGTCCAGGGGCGGACTGACCATTTGGAAACTCGGGCACTGCCCGAGGGCCCGGGGTCAGTAGGGGGCCCCATGAGATGCCCCTGGTACCTTTTTCATAGGCTTTTTTGAGTTTGGGCAAGGACACAGGGGCCCCATGATCCCCTATTGCCCGGGGGCCCCATGAGTTGTCAGTCCACCCCTGGTCTAGTCTTAATATGGTATTACCAAGACTGGGCATCATAGCCACAAATTCCAGTCTGTATGTGAAACGTCTACAAGAAACAGCTTGCCCATGCGTTGTCCATACACCTAGAACCACTACAACAGACATGTCAAACTGGTGATCCTTTGCTAACACTTCTGGTCCTCTTATTTCTTCTTTGCAGCCTTCAACTGGAATTTTTTCTGAAGTTAAAATGGTGTGGCCCTTAGTAAACATGGAGACCCTCGAAGATTTACTCCACTTCATTCAGCCTACTGTTTCTTTTAATTTTGACATACCTGCCCCAGAATTTGTTACTGACAGTCCGCAACATCATGTCCATTTAGTTGTGTTGCCTCAAGTAGCCCTGCCACCTTAGGCCACATTGGCTATGCAAAAGTCTGGCCCTGTTGACAGACTGTAGTTTTAGAGTGAATGCACTGGCAAAACGCTGGGCAATTCATCCAAGAGACTTCTTGAAGTTAAACTAAAGCTGTAAACTGTAAAATCACAGCAATCATAATATCTGCTTCAGTGGGAGCGAAAGACAGGCAGTTGGCAGTAATAGAGAGGTGTTGGTTTCCTAGGAAACGAGGAAGGCTAAGCTTTGAGTTACATGGTGTTCAGCACGAGTCTCGAACAATGAAAGAAAAACTTTTAAATCAACATGAAGAATTCTGCCCCTTGCTGTACAATTAGGAGATATTTACAACCTATAAAAGGTAACATTTACTGGAGAAAGAGCAAAACATGTTTAAAAACTGCAGATTTTAGTTGTTTATTGAAGTTATACAGCAGTTAAAATTGGCTCGCTATCTTCAGCATTATTAGAACGCTTAATTTTTTCAGTTATGTTAGTGTGTATCAGGGGCTGACTGACCATTTGGAAAATCTGCCCGAGGGCCCGGGGTCATTAGGGGGCCCCATGAGATGCCCCTGGTACCTTTTTCATAGGGTTTTTTGAGTTTGGGCAAGGACACAGGGGCCCCATGATCCCCTATTGCCCGGGGGCCCCATGAGTTGTCAGTCCGCCCCTGGTGTGTATTGTTTATTGAAGATTTCTGATATAAATAAATAAATACAATTTTTATATATATATATATATATATATATATATATATATATATATATATATATATACACACATCAGGGTGGATAAAAATCAATGATTTTTTAAAATCAGGTTTTTTTAATTTAAATTGGATTTTTTTTATTTTTATCAAATTTAATTTAATGGAATGCTTTTGGAGTAAAAATCTAAAGATGGTTTTCTGTTTAAGATACATTAACAATTTAGTTTAAACATAAATTGAAGCTTAGTTATGTAGCATGAGGCTGTATATGCTGCAATATTTACATTTTGGTAAACTCATTCAATGAATCCAAGCTCTGCAAGATGAGATAATATGCACTGCATTGATGCATTCACACAATTTCACAGTAACCATGAGAAAAAACATGAAATAAAAAAATGTGAGTATTTCTCCAGCTATGTGTAATTAACCTATTAACCTAAAATCGGTTCTGATATCGCTGTTTTACTAACCTGACAGCTTATTATTTTAAAAAGAAAACCTTCATTTGGTTTGCAAATATTAAAAATTTCTAACTACCAGCAAGAATGAGTCAGATTCCTTACATTTAAAGAGTACTTGTCATTTTGGATCCATCATGGCAGCCTGTGTTAGCAGGCATCCACTCACCTGCTGCCCGCCACATCTCTCACCTTGTTGTGTCACTGCCGCATCACCAGCCGTCCCATTAAAGTGAATGGGACTGTCGGTGAGTCAACAGCGGGTAAGAGGAGGAGCCGCTACAGGACAGAGATGACAGTTGCTCTTTAAAAATTATGATTTAAATCTAGCCTTTTCACTAGTAATTTAAATCATGATTTAAATTGTGATTTAAATCAAATCCACTATGATACACATATACACACACAAGCACTACATACTGTGTGTGTGTGTGTATATATATATATATATATATATAGTGACATGGGGATGTTTAGCACAGTGATAGATGCATTTTCAAGTAAGTTCACATCAGTCAGGAACTATATTTAAGGACCTGATAGCCTTTTTTTATTAAAAGAAAAACAGAAAGTCCATAAAACATAAGGATACCTACACAGGGGTTCTTCTCCAGCAAAAAAAAAAAACAATGAAAAGTGCTAGCACACCTGGCTACTCTACTTAGCAGTACCTCTTCTGTGTCCACTGGTCACACAGATCACAGGTACTTCAATACAGACAGCGTAACTCTAATGCACACAGCTGTTCTAATTTGAATGGACTCCTGTCCTGCAGGGAAGAAGTCCCTGCACTTCTTTTGAAAACGCAGCCCGCACGGGAACCTCAATTCCCAGTATGGTTGCGTTTTCCAGTGCGGGCGGAGTGCCATTAGAACTAATAGCACCCACCCGCAGGTCCGCATTTCTCTGTGTGGGTGGTGCGGCTGCACGGATTTCCATGCGAATTTGCAGCAGCACCACCTGCACATATGGGAACCAGGGCTTAGTACTCAGGCCTTTATCTGTGTCTTGCAGACAATTATGCTCTGGCTTCCACAAGTAGCCTCTCTATTTTCTGGACAAGAGACCTCTTGTGTCTCTTGGGTGAAGCCCTGAAGTATTCCCAAACCTTCATTATAAGGGCTGTGTGCACCTGGACACACACCCTGCTAGTTATCCACAAAACCCAGAAACTGGGTTGGAAATTCCATCCCCCCCAAGACAATATATGAATCTCCAAACTGCGGAGCCCATCCAGGAATATGAAAACCTGGAGAAAGCTGCAAAAGCAGTTTTCTAAACTCAAAATTAATGCTTCTTAATCCTGCACTCAGCGATCATGCAAACCTTGTGTCCTTTTCTTGACCAATTCCACAGTGTCAGAGCCTCGTACTGTCATAATATACAGGTGAAACTCGAAAAATTAGAATATCGTGCAAAAGTTCATTTATTTCAGTAATGCAACTTAAAAGGTGAAACTAATATATGAGATAGACTCATTACATGCAAAGCAAGATAGTTCAAGCCGTGATTTGTCATAATTGTGATGATTATGGCTTACAGTTCATGAAAACCCCAAATCCACAATCTCAGAAAATTAAAATATTACATGCAATCAATAAAACAAGGATTGTACATAGAACAATATCGGACCTCTGAAAAGTATAAGCATGCATATGTACTCAGTACTTGGTTTGGGCCCCTTTTGCTGCAATTACTGCCTCAATGCGGCGTGGCATGGAAGCTATCAGCCTGTGGCACTGCTGAGGTGTTATGGAAGAACAGGATGCTTCAATAGCGGCCTTCAGCGCTTCTGCATTGTTCGGTCTCATGTCTCTCATCTTTCTCTTGGCAATGCCCCATAGATTCTCTATAGGGTTCAGGTCAGGCGAGTTTGCTGGCCAATCAAACCCAGTAATCCCATGGTCATTGAACCAGATTTTGGTGCTTTTGGCAGTGTGGTCAGGTGCCAAATCCTGCTGGAAAATGAAGTCAGCATCCCCATAAAGCTCGTCTGTGGAAGGAAGTATGAAGTGCTCCAAAATCTCCTGGTAGATGGCTGCGTTGACCCTGGACTTAATGAAGCAGAGTGGACCAACACCAGCAGATGACATGGCTCCCCAAATCAACACAGACTGTGGAAACCTCACACTGGACTTCAAGCATCTTGCAGTGTGTGCCTCTCCATTCTTCCTCCATACTCTGGGTTCTTGGTTTCCAAATGAGATGCAAAAGTTGCTCTCATCAGAAAAGAGGACTTTGGACCACTGAGCAACAGACCAGGTCTATTTTTCTTTAGCCCAGGTAAGACGCTTCTAACGTTGTTTGGTGTTCAGGAGCGGCTTGACAAGAGGAATACGACAGTTGAAGCCCATGTCCAGGATCCGTC